GCTGTGGGTATAGTCTAACACCCAAATAAGGCTCTCTTTATTTGTAAGATAGATGTGTTCAATTTCAAATTAAGCCCAATAATAAATGTATGCTTTTATAACATGCATCTTTTCCCCCCTGAAAAGTACATTTCCTAGCTCCAGAGAATATTTCTTGATGCATACAGTATATTAGTATAGAAGTTACAACTGGAGATGGTCACTGATTTCTTGAGGGATTTTGTTGTTGTTTTTTAAACTTTTTTTCTTCTCAGCTTCCAAACAGTCTCTCATTCCTTTTAATCTACCTTGCCAGATTGTGCTGTGCTAGATGACATTAATTCCCTTCGATTTAGATGCCATTAATTCCCTTAGAATCAGAACTGAGATTCATTTCTGCACTTCTGATAAGCTATCTACATGAATAAGTAGAAGATTACAGCACAGACCACTCAACTAACCTGAAATTCAGGTGGTATCTTGATCATTTCCCCCCTTTTCCAGTTCACAAAACTTTCTGGATAAATGAGTAGCTCAAAGTGTACTGGAAAGGAACTGACTGCTTTGGAACAAAATTCTGCAATGACATGTAACAATCCATAACTGCCATCTGGCAAGATGTGTCTGCTTTCACTACTTGTCTTACCCTAAAAATAAAACTAGGAAGGAAACTATGCCCCGGGATACATCCATGCACATGGAGATTAAGAGAAGTAGTAGTAATACAGAATGGCATGTTCATCAAAACCCACCTGCTCCGGTGTTCTGAGACTGGCAAAACTGGAGTGCATCTATGAAGGTTCTCAGTATGCCTGTCTGGAAGACTATAACCCCCAAATGGGACCGACCAAAAGTGAAATATTTTGCACTGGTTATTTATTAATAATAGGCTCCTACATGACCTCTGTGAATTTGTTTGGATGTAAGAGAAGGAAGAATTTGGAACAAACTCTTATGTTAAGGTACATCTCTGAGCAAGGGAAGAAGGGATAGGATTCCATTACACTTATTGGGCCAAATCTTCAAGTATCTTCTTATGTCCAAATCGTCCTGTCTGCTTCCATAAGTAAACCCAGACTTTGGGGCAGGACTGGGTCATCTTCTGTCTTTACAAAGCCTTTAGCACACTTTTAAGTGCTAATGCAATATACATACACCTCTACCTCAATATAACGCTGTCTTCGGGAGCCAAAAAAATCTTACCACATTATAGATGAAACTGCGTTATATCAAACTTGCTTTGATCCGCCAGAGTGAGCAGCTCTGTCCCCCCGGAGCGCTGCTTTACCGCATTATATCCGAATTCGTGTTATATTGGGTCACATTATATCGAGGTAGAGGTGTACTATAAATAATCACTATCCAAGTGTGTGTGTTTGCAGAAAGGTAAGTGCTACCAGGGAGAAGTTGAAACAGGATACTGGGGAAGAAGTGGGAGCAAGGCTGCAGCTGTTCTGAGTCAGGCATCCTCAATGAAGCCAGATGGCTGATTATTCAAACCTCCCTTATCTTAACCCCAATGGGGGACAGGATCCTTTGGCATAGAGGGGATTGGGGATAAGTGAGGTTCAGATGTTTTATTATATGCATATTATCACCATCTTGTGAATTTTCCACTTAGTATGAAAATTATAGGTAAATTGCACAGGGCACACTTGTTCATACCAAGCATTTTAAAATAGATTTCCATTGACTTATATTGCTCAGCACCTGCGACTGTAATAAAAGTCAACTGGAACTGTGGGTGATCAGCACCTTTCAGAATTAGGCCCTTAACTGGTAATGAATTTGATAGTTATCTCTCTTGACTAGAAACATCTGTAATTAAACTATATTTTGCCTTTCCAGGAAAAAGTTGTAGGATTTATTTTTAAAAATCTGAACCTTGGGGTAGTTCTGCTTAGGTTCAGCTAATCTTTCAGCTACAATTAACATCTAGGGCAATAGCAGCTGCTCTTATAAGCACTTCTAACTGTCCTAGAAGTCAATGGGAATTCTGGATGCTCAGCATTTTCAGGTTCCAGACTAATTATGGCTGCACTGTGTGAGGCATTCAGTGTCTGAAAGTCAAACATAGACATGCAATTACATAATGGAAGATTAGGCTATAATGCAATATAAACAAACAAAAAATTAGAGTCCCAACTAAGACGAGGGCCCCATTAGACGAGACACTTTAAGACAGTCCCTGCCTCAAAGAGTTAAATACACAAGACAAAGAGCAAGATAAATTAAGTATTATTAAACCCATTTTACAGATGGGTGAGCGAAACAGAGAGATTAAGTGACTTGCCCAAGTTTATGCAAGAAATCTGGGATAGAGTCAGGAATGGAACATAAATCTCCAGATTCTAAAGCTACTCACTGAACCACAAGGCTATCCTTTCTCACTAGATTTCACTACACAGACCACAGTCACACAAAGCCTTACGCACTTAAGGCTTTGCTGGCTCTGGTTCTAGCCGTGCACTCCTTTCCTTTCTTCATAAGTAGTATGTAAGAAAACAATAGAAAGAAATGTGACTCATTCTTTGAGATGCATATCACTGTGGGTGCTCCACTTCCAGTGCGCATGAGCCTCTCAAGACCTTGATCAGAGATTTCTAGCAAGCAGTGCCTTTTCAACCAGTGCCCTGTTTAACCAGTGCCCTTTGCCTCCTTGTGGCCGACACCAAGTATATATAGGGATATGCAGGTGAACTGCACTAAGTTTCTTCTTTACTCGTCATTCTCTAGGCCACAACCGAAGCAGAGGGGAAGGGCGGGTAGTGGAGCACCCATAAGGACACACATATCAAAGACCACCACAGTTACTGCACAGGGTGAGTAACGTTTCCTTCTTCTTCAAGCAGTGTCCCTATGGCATCCCTAGAAGGAGGAGGGAGCCTGAGAACAGGATCCAGGACTGAAGATAGTACCAACGGCATGGAGCAGGGCATAATGCTTTGAAAATATATCGATTGAAGACCACATAGCGGCTCTATGTATCTTAAACATTGGAACAGTCTTCAAAAATGTAGTGCATGTCACTTGCAATCTGGTTGAATGCACTCTCCCCACCCCCTCTCGCCCCCGGGTACAGATACAACCCGATGTCCATTTCAAAAGTCTGTCAGCGGAGATGGGAACACCCTGAGATCTATCTGTGAAGGATATATAGGGTCTAGGTGATCTTCTAAAGTGCTTAGTTTTATCCAGGTAGAAGGCTAAGGCCATGCTAATGTCCAAGGTATGGAAATAGGATTCCTGCTGGGAACTGTGAGGTTTCAGGAAAAAAAAATAGCAGTAGATGGACTCGTTGGTTAACATAAAAATCCAAAGTAACCTTGGGTAGGAACCTTGGATGTGGATGTAAAAAGAACTTACTGCAAAAAAATGTCAGGGCGGGGGGGAGGAGGGAGATTTGCCATCAAGGCTCCAATCTCCACAACCTTACAAGCAGACATGATGGCAACTAGGAAGGCCATCTTCATAGATAAATGAAGCAGGGAGTAGGTAGCCATTGGTTCAAATGGAGGTCTCATGAGGTTCTTGAGAACCAGATTGAGGTGCCAGGATGGAGTAGGAGGTCTAATATGGGGGAAAAGATTACTCAGACCCTTTATAAATCTGGACATTACTGGGGGAGCAAAAAATGGAGAATTCCTCAATTGCAGATGAAAGGCTGACACAGCAGCCCAATGTACCTTGACCAAACTGATGGATAACCCAGAAGTCTTTAGATCCAGCAAGTAATCTAGGATGAGGGAAAGGGGAACAAATTCAGACCATAGAATGCAACAGAGAGTCCTGTGGCACCTTTAAGACTAACAGATGTATTGGAGCGTAAGCTTTTGTGGGTGAATGCCCACTTTGTCGGACATTCACCCACAAAAGCTTATGCTCCAATACATCTGTTAGTCTTAAAGGTGCCACAGGACTCTCTGTTGCTTTTTTACAGATCCAGACTAACACAGCTACCCCTCTGATACTTGAGACCATAGAATGTCAGGGTTGGAAGGGACCTTAGGAGATCATCTAGTCTAACCCCCTGCTCAAAGCAGGACCAATCCCCAGATTTTTGCCCC